TTTAGGACCTTCCACAGGTGGTTGCCAACTTTATCTGCCAATAATTAGCCCAAGTTACCCCCCAATATCAACCAAACTGGAATGCTCACATGTTCTCTTCATCTGGAATACCTGTGCCCTTATCTTTCTGTTGACAGCATAAGTACTCCACCCCAGAGCAAGGGGTTTATAGGGGTAGATAGGAGAAAACTCTGGTACGAAGTTTTAAGAACTTAGATTGGGCTTAGAGAAAATCTAGATGGCATCCTGGGGAAATGGAAAACTCAAAAACCATGGCAGTCTCCAATGCACAAGACAGTAAGTAGGGGATTAGAAGAGGGAAATCCTAACTATGTTCTTACCAGAAACACATAGAAACATCCCTCCCCTTCTGAAAAATAGTTATTGGATATAACAATAATTGTCTTCTTATAATACATGACTTAGCAGGAGGCGAAGTAAGGGAATTTCTCAGAGGTGAGAAATAATAGAAATAATGAAAATCTATAGAAATAAGAAACCCCTGGGGCCTGGCATTTGTGTGCCAATCCCTGTTTGCCTAGAGCATGGGTTTTAATGAACAGTGAGTGCATCTAGGACAAGTACAAAATTTGGAGCCACTAGTGTACTTTATAAGATATTGATTAACTTTAGACTTATTAAGATAAATGTGTAAGCTATAATTTCCAAGATCTCCACTGACAGAATTAAAATAAAGCATGTAACTTCCAAGCTAATAGAGTTGGGGGGAAAAAGGAATGAGAGAGGGAAAAAAATCAACCCAAAAGAGGGTAAGAAAGAAAGGGAAAAAAGAAACCTAGAAAATACAATAAAAAAATAGGAGCAAAAACTAAGATGGTATAAATGAATCCAGTTTAACAATAATCACAGTCTGCATAAATGGATTATACTCTCCAGTTAACAATTAAAGATTATTAGACTAGATTTTTAAAATTCAGTTCTAAACTGTTCATAAGAGAAACTCCCAAAAGTGTTGAGATAGAGAAAGCCTGCAAGTAAAACGATGGGAAAGGACATAGCATGGTAATACTCTTCAAAAAGAAGCAGGTGTGGCTATATTAAATATTAGGGAAAACTAGACTTCCGGAACAAAAAGAAAGCGCTACTGTAAATGAATTTTCAATTTACTGGGATACATAATTTTAAATTTATATACCCCTAACAACATAACTTTGAAATATATAGAAAAGAAATTACTGGAACTACAACCTCAAGATATTCAAAATCACAAGGGGACATTTTCACACATCTCTCTCAAAATTGATGGGTCAAATAGACAAGAAATCAGTAAGGAGTTAAAAGGTTTGAAGAACACAATTAAGAAGCTTGATCTAATGGACTTACACAGAACACTGAAAGCAGATTCACTTCAAATACACATGAAACATTTACAAAATGCATCATATACTATAGGCCATAGAGCAAACATCAACAAAATTCAAAGAATCTGTATCATAGCCAACATTCTCTAACAGTTAAATTAGAAATCAATAATGAAAAAAATAACTTAGAAAACTTTATACTTTTGAAAATTAAAAAACACATTCTAACTCATGAGTCAGGGAAAAAAGTCAAACTAGAAATTAATAAATATTTCAAACTGAATGGTCATGAAACTACTGATTGAAACTGGTGGGATACAGCTAATGCAGTACTGAGGGAAGATTATAGCCTTACTGCTTATTCTAGAGACAAAGCACATCTGCAAAGTGATAAACTGAGTTTTTAACTCCAAAAGTTAGCTAAGAGAAGCGAATAAATCCAAAGAAAGGTGGAGTAAAATAATATAAGCAAAATATAAACTTATGAGCAGAAATCAATGAAAGAATAACTACTAAATAATAGAAAGTATCCAAAAAATGAAAGTCATCATCTTTTCTTTTTCTTCAAAACACTAATAAAACTGAGAAACTGAAAGCAAGATTAAAAAAAGAGATGACACTGATAATCAACATCAAGAATGAAAAAGAGGGCATTGCTATAGGTGCTGCAGACATCAACTAAAATTAAAAACAGGATATTACTGACAACTTCGTACCATTATTTTGAGCATTTGGGCAAAACTCACAAATTCCTAGACAAATGTAATTTCCATAGTTAATTCAAGAATAAATACAAAACCTGAATAGCCCAATAACCATGAAAGAAATGGAATCATTAGTTAAAATTGTTATCATAAAGAAAGCCTCAGACTTTGATGGCTTTGTTAAAAGTTCTACAAAATAACCAGAAAATAAATAATTCTAATCTTACACAAACTATCCCAGAATTTAAAAAAAAGAAGGAAAACCATGTTATGAATCAGATACATCCTTGATACTAAAACTGGAGAGCCACAAACAGAAAATCTAAGTTTTTCAAAATGTAAATTTATAATAGCAACAAAAAAATAAGCCATCAAACAAAGAAAACTAACAAAAGGTATGTAAAACTGTTATAAAACTTTAAAGACATTACAGAAGACAAATAGAAACATGTATCAGCACACCATTTTCATGGATAAGAACACAATATTCTAATAAAAAGATGTTAGGTTTTCCCACAATTTAAAATGAATATTAGCACAATTCTGATCAAAATCCAAAAATACTTTTGGAGAATTTTAAAATAATTCTAAAATTCATCTGAAAGCGCAAATGGTTCCAAATAATCAAAAACACTCCTGAGGAAGAAGGAAGAGAAAGTGAGGGAACTTGACCTAACAGATAGCAAGGATTCTAAAGCAATAGCAATTAAGACAGTGTGGCATTGTTGCAGAGATAGACAAATAGACCACCAAAACAATTAGAAAGCCCCAAAATAAACATATAAGGAAATTTAATATGGCAAAATCAATACCACAGATCAGTGGGGAAAAAGGATGTACTACTAATCAATAAATGTTCTGGACAATGGAAAACTGAAAATAGAATCCTACTTCACACCTATGCAACAATTATTTCCTATTCTAGATAGGTGGATAACTTAAAAATGAAAATGAAATCTTTTTACAAATTTAGAATAGAATATCAGAGAACATCTTTATAGTATTAGGATAAGGAAGGACTTCTTAAGACATTAAAAAGTACAAATCTTACAAGAAAAGATTCATAAATCCAACTACATTAAAAGTAAGAACACTTATGCATCAAAACACACACAAAACAGGGTAAAGAGATGAGTTTTCATAGTTAATTCAAGAATAAATACAAAACCTGAATAGCCCAATAACCATCAAAGAAATTGAATCATTAGTTAAAATTGTTATCATAAAGAAAGCATCAGACTTTGATGGCTTTGTTAAAAGTTCTACAAAATAACCAGAAAATAAATAATTATAATCTTACACAAACTGGGGAACTACTAACAGAAGAGTAGTATCTAAATTATACCAAGAACTCTTACAGACAAATCCATTGAAAAATGGACAAAATACATGAGCAAGAACTTCACAAAAGAGGAAACACACATAAATGACCAAAAAGTCCATAGGTAAAAACATACTTAATCTCACAGTTAATCTCACTTTTAAAACTGAGAATGAGCTAATATTTCACACTCACCAAATTTACAAAAATTAGTTTGACAGTGTCGAGTGCTGTAGACTATGTGAAGCAAGAGGACTTATATACTAGCAATCTGAGTGTAAATTGAAAAGGAAAACATTTTGGAATTGAGTGGTTAAAATTAAGCACACACATACTCTATAGCCCAGCAAGCCATTTCTACATGCAAAGCCTCGAGAATGTTGATAACGGCATGTAATAGAAAACTGAAAACAACCTAAATGACCATTGTTGGTAAAAATGGATAATAAATACAAAGAGGTAATGCACTGCAATGAAACATGAAAATACTACCACTATCCACAACAGCATAGATAAATCTTATATATGTTTGAGTGGAAAAAACAAGCTGAAGAATCTATCTGTAGGATATGGTTCAAAAGTAGGTAATCTTAAACTGTATATCTGTACATGTATAATTGTTATATACAGTCATATACATATATATGGTAAAGTATGAAGTGGTAAGACTATAGAAAAGCAAGGAGTGATTAACAAGCAAGACAGGATAGTGGGTACTTCTGGAGGGAGGAAAAGATCTGCAACCGGCAGGGGTGTCATAAATAGGTTTCCAAGACACTAGTAATATTTTTGCATTGAATTATGAACATGTATAAACTTATTGTCACCCTTTATAATATACATTTATGTTTTCTACAATTTTATGTGTGTGTGGTATATTTCGCAGTAAAAGCCAACCAATCAATTGAGCTAGCTAGAGGCTAAAGAACTGCAACTAGCATCCATAAGATGGGCCTAGTAGGTTTTCAAGGATAAATAAGAGACAGTGAAATTTCCCTGAGTCTGTGATCCATGACTGAAACCAGCAAAAAGCTTTGCACTTGAATGAGAAGGAAGTTTTGAAGTGGGGCAGAGACTCCTGCTGGTGCCCTTGGAGGTTGCTGGGGATGTTATGACTATAGGAAGTAAATGGATGATTCAAAAAAGGTACTTAACTTGCAAACATGCAGATACAAAGAAGTTACTGTCTTTTTATAAATATGAGGCATTTGTCTCAGTTACTTATACAAGTAAAAGTGTATTTTCCCACATCACAGGAAATCCAGAAGAAGGCAGTGCAGAGCTTGTTGAGAGGGTTACCAGAATTGTCCAAATGCAGGCTCCACTTGCCACTCTGCCATTTTTAGTTTAGGGGCTTATTGCCCCATGTAGCTCCAAAGTTCTTATCTGCCTTGAATGTAGCATTCAGGGTATTTTCCCAACTCTTTGTCATCAAAGTTAAAGCCTTTTCTAGAACTCTCCCATAGCCTGTTACTCACTTGAGAGCCATCAAAATGGTGTCACATTTTCTTGCTGCAGGAGAGGCTGGGAAAGTACTTATTTTGCCATTGCAGACTATATAGTAGGAGCAGGCAAAAGTGAAGGGGGAGAAGTGTGTATTCAATGGTATCTGTCAAAATACTCCACTAAGAATTATTCTTCTTTTTCTCCCAGGAGCCAGTCTACTTGATGACTTATACAAGTATTTCTTCTTCCATCACTCCTATGGAGACACCATGACTGTCATGGATCCAAAGCAGATGAATGTTGCTGCTGCTGTTTGGGCTGTTGTCTCTTACGTTGTTGCAGACATGGAAGAAATGCTGCCTAGGTCCTAGAAACAGCAAGAAGGAAACATTTTCATGCTTCTGGCCAGGAATCCTGGGTCTGCAACTTTGGAAAACACCTCTTCACATAACAATTTCATCTAACTCATCTCCAAAGCACAACTCTGTTTCATGCTTTCTGTTATTATCTTTCTGATACTTTTCAAATTCTCTGATTTTAGAAGAAGGAATCATTCTCCCCTGCCTGCCACCACATAGAATCAACATATGGTAAGGATCACAGTGGGGGCATTTCTTTATATCACCTCTTAAAAATGTTATTTCCACTTTAAAACTAAAAACTTAATAAACTTTTTAAAGATCTCAGATTTTTATGTGTTCATTTATTAACATTAAATATGAAAATATGATTTATATTATTGAAGGAATAGAAGAATTTCTCAATTTCAGTATGATCTTAATTGAATATATAGAGGCATTTGGCTTTCCAATTTGCATATTTTTATATTATGTGAATTTTAAAATGAGCTTTGAAATTTTTTAATTTACAGGAAAAAAGGATATTATCATTTGGGGAAATAATCAAGAATGTATAATTAATTGCCTTATTAAAGATAAGTATTAGGGTCTGTGACTAGATAAATAATGCTATTTTGCATTTATGTTTTGTATATTTTACACAACATTACCATGAAATTGGGACGTATTCATAATTTGCTGATGACATGGTTGGAGCTCAGAGAGGCTAAATAATATTTACAGAGTCCTCTAGAACAAAAACAGTAATCCCCATCCTCAGTGAAGCGAATTTCTACTATTGTTCCTCACACAACATCTAATATTCAATAAAAAATTACAAGACACACCAAAAAAAGAACAAGAAAAAAATAAACTTACTGTCAAGAGATAAATCAATTAAGAGAAACAGACTAAGAGATGACCTAGAAGTTTGAATGATCAGGGGAGTTTAACCTAACTATGATGATTATGTTAAACATCTAATAAGAAAAGTGGACTGTACACATGAACAGAAGAAGAATTTCAGTCAAATTGGAAACCATAACATGAAGTCAAATACAAATGTTGAAAAATGCAATGTCAGATATGCAAAATTTTTTTGTCAGACTCAGTTAATTGGACAAGGCTGCAGAGAGCATTGGTATGCTTGAATATAAGCCAATAGAAATTATCCAAAAAGAGAAGAAAGAGTAAAGGAGAAAAAATGCCAGAGTGGACCATCCAAGAATTGTTATACAGTATCAAGTTGTCTAGTACATGTGTAATTGGATTTTCAGAAAGAGAGGACAAAGCATCAATTGTATTAATGATAATAAAACAATTGAAAGTGTAAGATCTTTCATTTCTGATGAAGTATCACACTAGTTCTCTGACTGACCCCTACACTGAGATGACAAAAATGCTAGATAATTTTTGAGAAACACCTTATTAAATATATGAATAAATGGATTAACAAGTGAAAAATATTAGACAAAAAACTAAGTATCGAAAGACTATAGTGCAAGAGATACATAGAATATTTTTTTGCTTTTTAAAGGTTTTTTAAACTGATAGACACACATACACACCTCTGTGTATGTGTGTGATTTTTTTTTTTTGAGACAGGGTCTAACACTGTTGTCCAGGCTGTAGTGCAATGGTGCAATCTTGGTTCACTGCAACCTCTAACTCCCAGGCTCAGGTGATCCTCCCACCTCACCCTCCTGAGTAGTTGGGACCAGAGGTGTCCACCACCATGCCTGGATATTTTGTTGTTGTTGTTTGTTTGTTTGTTTGTTTGTGAGATAGCATTTTGCCACACTGCCCAGGCTGGTCTTGAACTTCTGGATTCAAGCAATCAGCCTGCCTCAGCCTCCCAAAGTGCTGGGATTACAGGCATGAGCAACTGCCCTCAGCCTTTAAAAAAAAAAATATATATATATATATATATACACACACACACACACACACACACAAACACACACACACATTTATATGTATACTATATATATGTAATATACATATGTATGTACATACATAATTCCAATAGCTTTTGAGGTACAAATGGTTGTTGGTTACATGGATGAATCATATAGTGGTAAAGTCTGAGATTTTGGTGCTCCCTTCACCCAACTAATGTACATTGCATCCAATATGTAGCTTTTTATCCCTCACCTCCCTCTCACCCTCCCTGCTTCTGTCTCCAGTGCCCATTATACCACTCTGTATGCCTTTGTATACCCATAGCTTAGCTCCCACTTATAAGTGAGAACATAAAGTATTTGCTTTTCCATTCCTGAGTTAATTAACTTAGAATAATGGCCTCCAGCTCCATCCAAGTTGCTGCAAAAGCATTTCATTCTTGTTTATAGCTTACTCAGCAGTGTTCCATGGTGTATATATAACACATTTTCTTCATCCACTCATCAGTTGATGGGCAGTTAGGTTGGTTCTATACCTATTCAACTGTGAATTGTGCTGCAAGAAACATATGCATCCCAGTGTCTTTTGATATAATGACTTCTTTTCCTTTGGGTAGATATCCAGTAATGGGGTTGTTGGATAGAATGGTAGAAATACTTTCAGTTTTGGGGGAAATCTCTGTACTGTTTCCATAGAGGTTACACTAATTTACATTCCTACCAGCAGTATATCAGCAGTCCTTTCTTAACACATCCAGTCAACATTACTTTTTACTTTATAACAATAGCCATTCTGGGACCAGTCATGGTGGCTCATGCCTGTAATCCCAGAACTCTCAGAAGGCAAGGCAGGATTGCTTCAGTTCAGAAGTTCAAGATCAGCCCAGACAATACTGTGAGACCTTTTTGGTACAAAAAATAACCATAAAAAATAAAATAGCTAGGCATGGTGGCATGCATCTGTGGTCCAAGCTACTTGGGAAGCTGAGGTGGGAGGATCTCTTGAGCCCAGGAGGTTGAGGTGGCAGTGACCTATAATCATGCCACTGCACTCCATCCTGGGTGACAGCAAGACCCTGTCTCAATAATAATGGCCATTCTGGCTGGAATAAGGTGGTATCTCATTATTTTAATTCACATTTCCTTAATGATTAGTGATATTGAGCATTTTTCAAATAAGTTTGTTGCTCATTTGGAGATAGACAGAACACTGAACAAGCTTTCTCTTTGAGAAAGTTGAAGGAATTTAAGTTTACCACTTAGAGATTCAGAGTTTACCATTTACCATTCAGAGATCAGGAGATGGTAGACAAATCCCAGATTCTGCCACATTAAAGATGATACTATAGAACTCCAACAAAAATGAGACACCCAAAATGTTATACCTCAATACCGTGGTGAACAAAAATAACTCTTAGGTCTGCAAGGAAAGTTACCATGATTAAGTAAAAGCTAAGTAGAGGGTCTGAGGAAATAACCACTTATAAAGTTACAAAAAATATTAAATCACAACCAAAAGAGGAAGAAGAGGAATCATAGCATTCTGAGCAAGAGCAAACAACAACAAAAAAAAGATAAATAATTAACCCACAGTGTCCTCTGATATTGGGATTTCTGGGTTAACAATTATTTAAACTATGTCCACTGTTTCAAGGAAGTCAAAGAAGAATTTAAAAGTAGAATCGAGAGCATGGGACTATAAAAAATAACCAAGCTATTGTAGAAACAACCAAATAGAACTTTAGGGAATGTAAATTATACTAAGTGAAAATTTAAAATTAGGGGACAAATTTAATCAATTTTATAAGAGAATTCATAAAGTACAAGTTTGTAGTGATGAAATTTATGAGAATTTAGCACAGAAAGACGATGGAAAACATAAATGAAAGGTTAAGAAATATTAAGGATAGAGTTATATTGTCTAATGTGTTTAATCAGAGTTTTGGGGAAGAAATGGGACAATTATCTGAAGACATAATAAATCAAAATTTTCCAGAAACAATGAGATACACAAAATCATGAAACCAGTGAATCCCAAACAGAATAAATACAAAGACATATTTTGGAGAAACTACAGACCAGAAGACACAAAAGAAGCTCTGTGGAGTAACAGAGAACAGATGGACTATTTTAAAAGGAGCAATTGGACTTTTAGCTAACTTCATAACAGCAACAATGTAAGCCAGAAGACAGTGGAATAAGATCTCCCACATGCTGAGAGACAACAATTATCAACCTAACAACTCTGTGCTCAGGGAAAATATCTTTTGAAAACAAGGACAAAGTAAGGATATTTGTCAGATTAAAAAGTGAAAGAATTTACTACCAGCAGGTCTTCACTAAAGGAAATTAGAAAAAGTGTCCTCCAGAGAAAATTAAATGATTGTAGACACTAATATACAAGAAGTGAGGAGATAGGCTCCAGGCCAAAATCAAAATCTATGTGTGATTTTCCAGGTCTGACTTTAAGCATTACAAAGGCTTTGTCTGGCAGGCCTATTGGAAGAAAGTTGCCCTCCTAATATGGTTTGGTTGTGTCCCCACCAAATGTCATCTTGAATTCCCATGTGTTATGGGAAGGACCTAGTGGGAAGTAACTGAATCATGGGGGCAGGTCTTTCCCATGCTGTTCTCGTGATAGTGAATACATCTCATGAGATCTGATGGTTTCATAAAGGAGAGCTTCTCTGCACAAGCTCTCTTCGCTTGTCTGCCACCATGTGAGATGTGCCTTTTACCTTCAGCCATGATTGTGAGGCCTCCCCAGCTATGTGGAACTGTGAGTTATTAAACCTCTTTTTCCTTATACATTACCCAGTCTCAGATATGTCTTTATCAGCAGCATGAAAATAGATTAACACACTTCCCCACAGAAGACTTAGTGCTCTGCCAGTGGATTACAGTTTTCCAGAAGGAGTTGCAGTCAAGAACTCAGGCCCCCTAGGGCAGCTACCCATTCCTCACCCAAACAGCTCCATTCAAGTCCTCCTTATCTTATGACCAACACACTTTCTTCCACTCTAACCTAGTACTTTCCTAGTTCTAGCCTTCCCCTGCTCCCTCTTGTCAGTCCACTGGACCATAAAAATGTCAGGAGTCCTTTGTTTAGGGCTCTTTGGTAGTGGGATGATTTTCCCTGTCTGAGCTGATTCATCTGACCCTTGCCTACTGCCATTCCCTGGGGGCAAAATGAAACATCAGGAAGCCAATGCTTATTTTTGCCTCTTGTTTATACTATCTCTGTAAGTGATTAAGCCTTGATTGTTACTTTCAGTTTGGCTCATTGTTCTGACTGACCACCTAAGCCTGGCACCTGGACAGAAATTAAGAGCAAAGAAAGTGGTAACTGTTTTAAACAAACATGAAATAAATAAAAGCCACAATAATATGATATCTGAAAAGAAAACAAGATAAAACAAGATAAGAAGATATTTCACTGGAATAGT